ACCTCAGATCGGTCCAGGTCACCCGTATCGGTCTAAGGGTATTACATTTAGTGGTATAAGAGCTTAGGTTGAGACATCTTTCTGGGTAGACTGGCCGATCAACTGTCATAAGATGTATGGTCAGTAGATGCCCCTAGACTATAATCGTACTTCTCTAAGTAGAAACTTCAAGGTCGAGTTCCTCTCTGTAATAAGTTAAGCTAAGTTTTCTATACGTTAGGGCTCGACCTATGCATAAAAAGAATACCAGTAACGTTTGTCTAAATTCTGTAAAATACCTCACGATTAATGTGAGAGTTACTTATCAGAGAAATTCTGACTAGACTCCAGAAATAAAATTAGAATGCGTTACCGCTCTATGAACCTAACCTCGTAGCTAAGGTCAAATTATTTCCACAATGATAATTCTGTTCAGATTCTTTTATTATGATGAAGGAGAATTCTAACTAGAATGTATATTCAGTTGGTTAAGGATTAGTAGAGGACCCATACTTCTGTAAAAGCTACTTGAAGATATTGAAAAATTGTTGAAAGTTTCACTTCTGTATTTCTGTGACTTGAGTGAATTTTAAGGAAGAAATTATTTTAAGGGGAGGAGAATTGTCACGCCCCAAATTTTATATAAAATACATTTAATTTATTTAATTTAATTAAGGGACCAAAATAGGTAATTTTGCAAAAATATGGGTTAATCTCATAAATTTGGGAATTTTAATAACTTAACCCTGAATTTTCCCATTTTTCTAGTCAATAGAAAATTTTAAAATGAGAAAATATGTAGCTAAGGGGTATTGAACCCCTGACCTCCTGCATGGCCAACTATACCCTTACCAATCAAGCTAGGCAACTATTGTTAATAGGATGTAATAAAATTTTATTTTATATTTTATATAATGGTTGATAACCCATTTTTTTCAACCCCTAGCCTGAACCTGAACCATCCCCAAATTTTCCCTAACCTCATCAACCTTCCTTGATCCGCTTCGTTCTGTCTGTCATCAATGTGCACCGTCACCACCAGCGTGACCGGCGACCTTTCACGACCAAAACCTCTCTATCTCCTTGCCAGGTAGCGTCGTCGATCGTCGTGAATAAAGCCAGAGAAGTTCACCAAAAACCTTTCCTCACTGCTCAGTTTTCCTTCGATTACCGCTGATCTAGCCGTCTTCTTGCCTCACTACCTATGTCGTTAGCTTCCTCGCTGTCGTACGCTCGAAACCATATCGAGATCGTCGTATATTGTTACTTCGTCATTGACCGTCAGTTGGGTAAGGTTTCGAATGTTTTATCGGGTTGATTTAAATTCTTTTGGGCTGAAATTGGACTATTACAGATTAATCTTGCATTATTGAAGCTGTTGGAGTGCTCATCCAACTGACCTAACCTCGTCACCACCGTCCCGCACTGTCACATATCGTCACGTGTACGTGGGGCTCCTTCCTTAGCCTTGGTCCCTTCTAGAACAGTCCAGGTGGATCGAACCTCTCAACCCGGTCTGAATCAGGCCTGTTTGACCTGACTGAGTCAACCCGAACCGGTCAAACTAAGTCAACTCACTAAGTTAACCCGGTTGAGTCAAGTCAAACATATTTAACTCGTTGACTTTGACTTTAACCGTTGGCTTTGACCAAGAAGTCAAAATTTTTTAATAGTCATATTTTATGTTTTTCAACGTCCTAAGTTTGAATCCAAATTCCATTTTGCGAAATTCGAACTCAGTAAGATGTTTTTTGGCATTTTATCTTCCGATTCAATATGAATTTTCACATTTAAGTTATGTTTCTAATGTAATTGGGTTTTCCATGTATCCAAGACATTATGGGACGTGGAATTAAAGTTTAAGAGTGATCGAATGGAGTTAAAATGATCGATGGATGTGGTTCAAAAATCGAGGTAACACTTTACTACCTATTTGTATGCTTTATGGAACATGTTGATACTAGATAAATGAATGGATGTTTATGATTGGTTTATTATGCATGTTTGATTATGAATGGACTCGAACTGAATATGCTTTAAGTGATAAATTGGTTAAGACTCAATTGAATTGCACAAAGGAATTGGTAGATTTATAAGAAATAAATTTAAGGTTAGTGATTAATAGATAAAGGAATTAATCTTGGAATCCTTAAACTTTGAATATCATCATTAAATGTTTTGATGTCGAAAATGTTTGGAAAGTAAATTATGAAAATACCCTTATGAAGTAAAAAGATAACGGAATTGACCCGAATAGTGGAGTTAACCAGATAATTCATTCTTGACCTGATAGAACTACAAATCCGCCAACTGAACTCCTGACTATTTTGAAGACCTATAAATCGGTTGGAAGACCTAAAAATCGGTTGGAAGACCTGAAAATCGGTTCCTAGTCCTCAAGATCAGTAATAATTAAAATAATCCTAAAAAGTCATCCTTTATCTGATAGACTACTTATTCACTTGATAAATACTCGGTTTGTTCAGAAACATCCTGTTTACTGATTTTAATTCCCGAGGCGATAAAAATTTAGAATTTATGATTTTGGAATAATCACCCTATTATTAAATTACTGGAAATGATATATATATATATATATATGATTGAATCAAAGAAAATGATTGGAATACCATGAAATCTTAGATGAATGATGCAATCTCGAGACAAAAATAACCCGACTACCCTTATGACCTAGAAATAAGTGAATTTTATTTGATAATTCTGGAAACACCGAGAAAACCTAAGTATTATATCACCCTTAAAGGTTATGGAGTACGACTCAAGTACGTTGGTCATGTTGGAGACTGTTTCAATACATAAATAAAACAAATACCATCAGAACACGTACAGTTCCTCAAGAACCATTCAATGATTGTTCTAAAAATGATCAGAAATATTCTTGAAGTGCATCGATTTGAGTGGTGACATATATCGCAGTGCTGGAATTTGTTCAGTTTGAGTTGACTCGATATTTTGATAAATCAAAATGAATCTTGAATATCGTAAATTATCGTTTCACCCTTAGTGGATTAAGTTTCTAAGAATCCATCAGAAATCAAAGTGTATGAAATACCCCTGATGGCCTAAATAATGGAATCGCTCTGGTTATATCCAAAATCTTAATTTATTTTGAAGTAAAGGTTCCTAAATACCTTTCTGATACACCTGAAATCCTAAACGGTCCTGGTGCATCAATGTCTGAATGTCTTTTTAGATCCTTTAGCAATTAAACCCCTTTTTAGTAGGGATCTCATTTCTGAAATCCAATCAACTTGCAGAAGCTCGTGTTCCCCTTCCTGATAATTACTAGGTGCCTCTGAAAAATAACTGAAGTTTCTAGTGTGTTCCCTATGTACTATATGATTGTTTTATCTGTCTTTGAATATGATTGACCGAAGTTACTGATTTATTGAGTCTTTTAGCTGTTCGAAATTCTAAATTACTGATTTACTGATTTACTATTTCTGAACTATGGCTACATGATATATGCTCTTTGGTTACCTGTTTCCACTGGAAAATATAATTATACCTGATTTATGGATCATGGAATTTACTATTTATGATATGAACCAATTAATTGGATATTGTTTGGGTAGGATTATGGAGAATGAAGGTTCGGCTTTGATCAAGTTGGTAATTCCTTACGGACCTAAGGTGACCTTGGGTAGCTCTCAAGCCCCAAGGCATTCTCTTAGGTTAACTCCTAGGTCCAATGGGCCTAGGGTATGTCCTTATGGATGCAGTACTTGGGAATTGCATATGGTGACCGGGTGGAGGGCATTTATGTGATTTAAATAACTACATTTTCATCTTTACAATATTCTATTGGATCATGATTTTGATATTATAGTTGTATGGGTAGGAGTCTGGAGTACGAAGGTTCAGCTCTGATCAAGCTAGTAATTCCTTATGGGTCTAAGATGACCCTTAGGTAGACCCACAGGCCCCAAGGTACTCTCTTAGGGTGGCTCTTTTACTGTGCGCTTAGAGTAAGCCCTTATGGATGTAGTTTTGGGGGACTACATATGGAGTGTTCAGGTGAAAGGTATTAGAGTGATTTTAAAAATTTGTTTTACTGAGATAAAATACTACTATTTTTAATCTATTATTTTATTTATTCTGGATTTGTGGGAACACACTAGACACTCTATTCCAATCTTCTGAACCTGGTCCTCTGAACTTTTCCTCTGAATTGTAAGCTTCATGTCTTTTACTTGAAGAAATATCAGTGGAACCTCAGCTCATCACGAAAACATGTAGATGCCTGAATCAATAAGAAAAAGTTTATGCTTTTTATTTATTTGCATGTCCTTCAACATCACATGATAGTTCTGTATTACTGAGCTTCCCAAAGCTCACTCTGTTATTCACTATTTCAGATTAAAAGATCGATCCAGTGCATCTATCGACTTTAGTAATTGGAATTCTTTCGGCTTTGTTTTGAGTATGGTACAAGTGTAATTAGGGGGCATGTAGGTAACGTTTGATTTTTATATTGAGTTTGAAATTTTTATGATGGGATGCATGAACGAATTATGTTTTACGATTTGAAAATTTTCTACATTTCTATTTTTATATATTTTAATAAAACTTTTAAATTTTTCTGTTATTTTTATTGTGGGTCGCTCTATTGACTTTAATGTGACACCTCGACTCATATTAGGTCACATATATCGATATGAGGGTGTTACATTTAGTGAAAGAGATAGAAAGAAATGTTAGACACCAAATTAAAACGAAATAAACGTTAGGCACCAAGCTGGAACAAAATAATTTCTTATTTTCAGAAATTATTTTTTAATATTAGAAAATATGTCAGGTGGCATTTTTAATGGGTTAATGGATAAACTTAATAGTCCATCACGGCTGGCCATATTAAATCACAGAATTAAACGTTAGACACTAAATTGAAACAAAGTAAAAAATAGATACTAAACTGAAAATACAGCCATGAACCCCTTTTATATATTTAAGCCATTAAATAAAAGGTGAAAACGAGTTTTTTAATCCTGTAAAATATATTCTTCACCATCGTCCGAGTATATACAAAATCTTGGATTTTCATTTCATTATCAATAAGTTGTATTGTTTTCCGTTTTCCGATCTCCCGACAATGGCGGAAAGTCCGAGCGTTACCCAAGAGCCTTCCGGGAGCGGTGGCAGCGTGAGCAACGGGGAAGACAACAATCGAGGGCGAGTCCCCGCTTCGAAGGCTTCAATCGAAGCGATGCGGAGGATGAAAGTGGAAGGGGGCGGCGATTGTTCCATCTGTTTGGAGGAGTTTAAAGAGGATGAAGAAGACAGCGAGATGCCATGCAAGCATGTGTTTCATTCGGGTTGTGTGGAGAAGTGGCTGCAGATGAATGGGTCGTGCCCGATTTGTCGGTTTTTGATGCCGCCTGAGGAAGGCGCTAGTAGTGGTTTGGGATCGGGAGGTGGGCAGATTGATCCACAATTGAGACAGATGCTGTTGAGAGTATCAAGCTTGGCTAATTCCATCGGTTGGATGGTTTCGGGTCGGACTCAAGTTGATGATGACGATTCTTTAGCTCAAGACTGAAGCCTCCAAATGTTTGAAGTTGTTGAGATTGTGATGTTTTAGTATTTCATCTCTTTTGTTTACATTGAATGAGTGAAGTTCCAAATCACTTTTTCTCAATAATCTATACCATCTCCTAAACCAGTCCTTAGATCAAGATGATGCCACCATGTTTCCTTTAAAAGAATGTATGAACTATAATAAATAATTTTGGATACACAGAATTTTATGTTGTGTGATAAATTTTATGAATCAATTTATAAAATTTTAGAAAATAAAAGTAGTAAATTATCAATGGATAATACATGGGGATTTGAAAATTTTAACCGACAATGAACGCGATCCAACAGCTTTGGCTTTGAATTGAATTGTTACACCATGAATTATGCTCTGTATAAGATCAAGTTAATCATATGAACAGTTTTGGTATTTATGCTCTCACTGAACTTGGTATATCATGAATTGAGTTGTTATACCACACATTTCTTGAATCAAAGCTGCACTCTATTCTATCAAAAGTATAGGACTCGTATCTAAAAAAAATTCTATATTATTTAGGTCAAAAATTGATATGTAATCCATATACCAAGTTAAAAATTAAAATCCTTTTGTATCATTCATTGAAAATTATTAAAAAAAAAATTTATGATTTTTGTCCATCAAAAAAATTGTCATATACACTTTGACCAATTATGTATTGGCACTCCTAGTTCAGTTCTTCCAGCTCCATTTGCTCCACTCAACCTTCACCAATTCAACAACTTTTAGCACAGTTCTGGTGCAAAAGGAGAAGACAGAGAGAGAGTAAAAATTGGAAGCATTGGAAGCAGAATCTACAATTGTTCAAGAGGAAAGTACTCTACAAATAAATAAAGAAATAAGCTGTGTTACACAGAAGGTATACGTCCAACCCTGAAATGTTCAAATTTCTTCAAGGTTTCTCCATGTTTTTCAGATTATCATACGTTCATATCCATATCCGGTTATGAGTTGATCGAGGGTATTTCTAGAAAAATAATCAGAACGATACAGGAAATAAGCATCGAATATTTACCTTTCCTAGAAGATTAGAGGATTTACAACATTGTATTTGGGTGCTTTGATATAAATGTAAAGCTTCACATTTTCAGTTGCTTCTATAACCTATGCGACTTGAACTCAAATGGTCAAATACTTTCTTAAAGGCTTTCATGTAGATAATTCCTAATACCATGTGACAGTTCTATAACTAATTTAGCAGAGACTATTAACTCTTTTAAACATAAAAGGAAAAGATAAAAGCAACACATAAATTCATGAGGTTGAACTGAATTTAAACTGGGAAACAGCAAAATCGGTTTATTCTCTAATGCTAACAGCTTAAATTGATGAAAACCGGCTGGACTGCAGAGTAATAATTGTGATGAACCATAAAAAGGGAAGAAATGAAATTACCTTAGCTATATTTTTGCATGCTGTTCATCTCACCTATTCTTCCTTTAACAGGATATGCTTGAAACAAGGAAAAGGCACTTTAAGTACTAACGGGAAAAGCTTCAACAACAAGACAAAAGAAAACGTATGCAAATATAACAATTGGCTTTGTTACACCGTGGTCTATCATTGGAGATGTAGTAATTCACACAAAAAGAATGCAAGATTGAGAACTAAAGAGTATCAAACCATAAGAGTAAAGTTACTCCACTCATGCAATAAGATACTCATGGATTCAAATTTCAATCAAGTTAAAAAATAATATATTCTACAATAGAACATGAAGATTCAGTTGAGAATACTATGGTCAGAAGACTAGAAGATCTACACACGAGATTCTTAACGAACTGTATGAGCAATAACACTCATTAGACCACGTTACCGTTATTTGTAATGTGCTAATATGAAGCTGAGACTGCAGGTAACGCTGTTGGGTAAAACAGATGAAGAAAGATTTACAAAACTTTGCAGTTAAGCCCTTAAGTACACCCAAGTCTGAGTCTTCATTTTCACTGATTCATTTACCATGAGAGAGCCAATCCCGGACCTCGTTCTTCTTGCGCGACCCTATTTTTGCAAGATTGACTCATACATCAAACTCAAACTAGGGACTTGGATAATGCTTATTGCCTGCCCATCCATCAAGGATTATATCCGACAAGCTCAACTTAGAACTCCTTATCGGACTCCTACAATCTGTATCACGGTCAAATAGTTTTCATAACACATTACCAATCAAACAGCCCAAGAAAAGCATGACAATCTAATACCTGACAGGTTTCAAATTTCAGTGATCTATAACTACATAAAAATAAATTCTAGATCTAATAACAGAACGCATAAGCTTTAGAACATAATTTTCAGTAAAATAGCAATAAAATAAACGGAAGAAAGGGTTATTATATTCCCCCTAATAACTGAATGTATATATATAATCCATACAACTTATTGCTATAAGAAGCTTATTTAAAGACAACGTAGTATCAGATTAAACTAACTTGAGAAGGCACTCCTTTCTGCATTATGGCCACTTCTATGTTGCTTTAATTCCTCTATCTATGGTATCCTGAAATCCTATTTCTTGATCTTCCTTTTCTTCTTGGGCCCCGGAACCTCCAATCTGCCAACCGAACATCCACATTTAGCTCGAAAAACGATCACTGCTCTTCCATTAACCGGTGCCATCCTCTTTAACTCAGCTTCCAATTCCTTATTACGGTTGTGCAGCAATTCTAAAAGTCCTCTAGTAACACCATCTTTAAGCGTAGTGCTTGAATTCTTAACACACTCTTCAGTTTCCATCTGAATATCGAATTCGGTCGCCTTACTGAGCCCTTTACAGTGAGGTTTGCCACATTTCCTAGTTGTACAGAGCAGCAAAATCGAAGCAGCTATTGCTGAACAAGAAAAACCAAGTCCTATAGATCCATATATCATCGGAGAAATCATCATTTCATCTTTAACCAAATAAAAGGCAGCTTCAATGGACTCAAACAATATCAAAGATATGGATTTTATAGTCGGAAACAATAAGAATCCAAAAGCCGCAATCACAGCAATTAAGAAAACAACATCAATGGCAGCATATCTTGATCTATCACAAGATGGGATTTTCAAACAACTTGGAGGATTGGATACCTTCTGTTTCTTATAAAAATTGGCCCTTGATGATGACGATTTGGATGATTTGGGGTTCATCATGAAATCACTTGAATTCCCAGAATTTGCCATAGGAGAAGCCTGGTCAACCGAGTTGCAGACCGAGATTGATCTATGCAAATAGACCATTTCAAATCAAACCCAGAAATCGAACTCCAGAAACAAAGAGAACCCAATCAACAAAAATTGAAACCCTTATCAATTTTCCTTCATCCCTAAACTCCAAATCCAGACCAAACCCGCCTAGCAAAGAAATCAAAAAGAAAATAACTTTATTATCTCCACCTGAAAATCAGGTGCTCCTTCAATTAGTATGCAAATGTTTAAATCCCTTAAAGAAAACAACAGTCGGAAATTTTCAATCCCAAATTGAGATTTGAGATTGAGTTATCAAGAGCTATAGAAATATAACTGAAATAATCTAAGGCCGGCTATTGGAAGACGAGGAGAGAGAAAGGGGACAAAGGAAAGTCCATTTTTTCTAAAATTATTTATTTTATCACAAAACTTGTTGATCTAACATACAACGCTGTGCTTTTGGTGAAGATCAGATGCCTTTAAAGAAAAAGAAAGAAAATTGCTGGGCTGTTGATAATTGGAATGGCTTGAAATTAGGTTATTTTCAAGTGTTTTCAAGGTTTTTTTTCCCAATACCCAGTGAGTAAATTATTTGGGCCAATAAGTCTAACACTGATTTTAATTTGGGATATACGGTCTTTTCTACGGTAAAAGATAAATTTGTCAAGTTGATGTGATGAGTCCACTTAAAAAAATTTTTTTATTGATCTCAGGTATGTGAGTCCTATGTGTGACAATATTTTAATATTTTCACGGAGACTCTTCACGTCGAGATGAGATTTCATTAAATAATTTAAAGGAAGAAAAAATTATAAAAAATCAGATAAATTCGTCACGTCGAAATGATGAGTTTGTTTTGAATTTAAAAAAAATATTCGTTGTAGTCGTTGCACAACAAGTAGCTGCAACGATCAGCATGAAATTCGTCACCTCGAGATGATGAGTTTGAAGGGATTTTTGGAAAAAAAAATAGTTATTTACAATCGTTAGTTTTGGGGTTATAAATAAAGTTTTAGGTTTTTTATAGTGTTTTCTTAAGAAAAAATTGAGAGAAATTCAAATATTTTGAAAATTTCTGAAAATATCTAACCCGCAAAGAAATGCTACGTCGACTGTTGTCTATATTTCTTCCCTCGAGCTCGGTCCAAAAGAAGAATGGAGCTTTCGTTAACAAGGAATGACTCTTAGAGATCGACATTTGTGGATTATTATATATTTGCAACAATTCGAGTTTTATCCAACGATATTTTTGCGTGGTTTTAAGGTGAACCCGACATTGTTTACAACTCTGATAGAACGTTGGAGGCCTGAGACGATTACTTTCCATTTTTCGAGTGGTGAAGTGACAATTACGTTGGAAGATATCGCTTACCAACTCGGTGTTCCGGTCAATGGTGCAGTAGTAGTAAAACACAACAATTTCGACTTATTCATAACTGTTTGCCAAGTTTTGAGAAAGCTGTCACCATCAGAAGTCTTAGATGGATATCAGATACAAATCACTTGGTTGGAGTCTAAATTTCATGTGATGGACGACTCTACCGAGGTAGAAGTAATTTTTACAACCCGAACGTATTTGTGTTAATTCATTGAAGGGATATTGTTACCGGATAAATCTAGTAATTTGGCGCACATTCAGTATCTTTCTTATACCTTGAACTTTGCAAGACTACAATCGTGGTCAAAAATCATATGTAGTGGGTTGTCTAGTCTTGCTACAATCATTGGTGTAATACCAGTTTCTATTTTTTTAAGTCAATTACACCAATCCCGGTTAGTTTTCCCTCTTTGTAAGGTAATTTTTTAACATTGTTTTTTAATAAATTTTAAAATTTATTTCTTTTTAAAATTTTAAATTTTTATTTTTATATTATTTA